CGTCGCCGTCGTCGCCGTCGTCATTATCATCATAATCATCATATCATCATTATTATCCTCATTGGAGCAATATTTTCATTGGAAGAAAAGGAAGGTTCAACGATGGGAAACGTTCATACCTGCGGCCCAAACGAAGCTCTCGTAGTATCAGGTAAATGCTTTATTATCTTTCCGAGTATCATTAATACACTTTAGAGCAGTGATATGATTTTTGGGTCACTGTTTTTCTTGGTGCATTGATAATATTATTGAGCTATTGCTAGACAATAACAATTTATTAATAATTTGTCTGTATATAGCTTGAATTGAATCTATACAGAGATTTTTGTTTGTAAAACTTAATGTTAAGTCACAAATTTTTCATTGTAAAACTCGATTGATATATCAGTAGATCATCAAACATGATATGAAGTGATTTATTACATTTTTTTTACAAGATAACAGTAAGACGCAAAAGAGATAACAAAAGAACAAGTTTATACTGTATTCTCCAAAAGAAATACAATACTTATTTAAATCAATAATTGTTTTTTATAATAGAGAAGACTTTTTATCTTAACATTTTTTTAAAGAAGTTATTTTGTTAAACAAAAATAAAACTCAAAAATGATCTAGAGTTGAAGCTGGACTATTTGAGAAATCTAGAGCTTATTTGTTATCTCTTCATGAGTGCATGCTAATTGACTATCAGGTGTTATATTTACATTTTATTTAACTTTTTTGTTGAATTTTATATTATTTTATAGATATTTATAGCTTTGAGATGTCTTATAAATCAAAGTTGTGTACTTGTAATCTGCTGTTAACGACAAGCGAATACATTTAACAGTTTATATAATATTATACTAACATCAACAGTGAACATAACACTATATTAATAATAATGACATTATGTCTAAGGGTGCCTTCTAACAAGTGACTCAGTATAACGCAGTGTACTGAGCAGATTATCTCATCTTTGTTTAACATCATTACATTCTTGAATAACAAGGATGTAACGATGCACCGTGTCATACCGTGTCATGTGTATTTCTTGTCCTCATCCTAAGTAATGATGCATTTAATTTGTGCTCTTTTCATTTAATGCATTATAGGTATATCTGTACTTAATTCAATTACATAGTCTTTTAACGGTAAAAATGTTTACCATTCTAACGACTGTATTACACATAATATTACCTCTCTGAGTACCTTGGCTAAGTTCCTTGATAAGATTTTTTGCTTAGTATTCATTAGAATAGGTACAATTATACTCCATAATATTTTTTGCATTGATGCACTAAAAAATTAGATTGATTATTATAAGAGGCATAATGCGTTATTTTTTAATTATATGTAATTCCTCTGTATTGGCCGACTTTATTGTTGGAAGTAGTTTATTAATGACGCACGTGATGACTTGTGAATTCAATGATAAACATCTATCATGAGACTGCGTTTCTAAGAATTTGGTCATTGCATTTTCTCACTTTAGGGAATTAATTGTTTAACATGCGAGTATATTGCGTTTTTCGTAATTAATTTAAATTTATCTAACAGAATCTTTAGGGAGAATGATTAGAGTCATAACGTTTGTTAAATATTGTTTATACTTTATGTCATCAATATTGATTTGTTGTTTATGTAAAAGTTATTAGCACAAATTATCTTAGTTTGTAGTCTTTTTATTTTATTTATTTATTAGTAAGACTTCTATTAGACAAGTTCAACAAAATATGCAGTATTATTCTGTGATAATACTTTATAGACTGAAGTAGATAAAACAAATTATAACAATGTAACATATTAAGTATTAGACTACATTTATATGACTCGATTTACGCTGAAGTTGTAATATTGATATGAAACTGGTCAATTACAGTCATCTCATTCTTTAAAGGAACAGCTATGATTGGCTAATTTCATAACATCGATGTTATAACTTTTAGTGCGTATAGGAAGACGCGAGTTCTGTCATTCTTCGTTCTTTATTAGATGTAAAACAAAGATAGAATGACACTAATAGTGCTAATAACATTTTCCTGAACGCACTTTCCGGCGTAAATCAAGCCGTGTAAACGTAGTTATAGATACAGTACTATCGTTTGATGAAAATTATAATGTTAATAAGCTATTATATTTGTTGCAAGCTTGTAAACTAGTCACGTTAACGATTAATACACTGAAAATAGATTAATTGTTAGCTAAAGCGATGTGCTGTAATAATATATGCCATTTGGAGTTATAAACCTTAATAAATCTTAATAAACCATGGCACAGTATAAAATCAGTTGAGATTAATCAATAAAAATAAATACTGTTTTTAGATATTAACGTACAAATGATATAATTCTCTAAAATGAAATTTAATTAATAAAATAAAATTTTATTTTAAATAATGTGGGATATAATTCCTTAACTTTATTCTAAAAAAATTATTAATTTTAAGTGATTTTTTTTTCATTTTTTATATGCACAAAAAATTAGTGATTAGATATATTTTACTAAAATATTTTTGCTCCGCATAATTTTCAATAAATAGGTTACGTTTACGAATGTTATTTTGTCGGATGTTATAATTTTACTATCGTATTTATTACAAGAACACAATTTATAAGAAAAAAATCAAATATTCCAAATGTAAAAATAGCAACGGAGATGGTTATCCTGAATATATTTTTATATTTTCCTAGATATTAATCCATATTGCGTCAGTGGGCAAATGAGTGGAAAAAAAATTATGAGTCATCTCCCCTTTTACGTAACGATATAAATGCTCTACGACGCTTTCAATTGAAGAATATTTTTTATTTTTTTTCTTCGCTTTTCTGCAATTATTAATTCATTCACAAGTACTTTGTGCTACACGATTAAAGCAAAATGAGATGCGATATCCGTAATGACAAAATTGTGTTACTAACACTGAGAGGAAAATGTTTGGTATTTGTAATTATTTTTACTATAATTATGATTATTACTGCTATAATGTTAGTAATACTAACATTATAGTTCTAACAACAAATGTATGTAAGGTCTGTTTTCCGTTGCTGAACTGGTGTACACTTTTGGAACTTAAAGTGAGATAGGTATATATTTAATATTTGGCGTATATGTAATATTAGTTTGGCGTATATATAATATTAATTACAAACATCAAAAATTTTTCTTTTAATAAACGAGAACGATCGATGCGGCTGATCACCCTCGAGAAATATTCTTGAACAATAAATTATTATATTACATTTATTAGTATCGACTACTTACTATATTAATGATAGTTGCAACGCTTCGATAATAATTTTACTTGATGAGTATTGACGTCATATACTGACATAATGATTGACATAAAGAACTCACTATCAGTTATTTGAATATGCTTGAAAAAAGACATTGACACAATGAAAAATATTTATAGGTTTCTTTTTTCAAAAAAATTCTGTCTTTTAAAATTATTCGTTTTTAAGGTAGGAACATTTCATAGTCGTATCTATCATCTGATTATTGTCGATAACCATCTTAAACAATTTTGATCTTTCGTGAAAACATTCCACAGTCTCGGAATATTTTTAATCGCTCATACGTGCACGCATTGAAAATGTGCTGATAGCTTGCATATGTTACATAACATATTGAGTGGAAAGTATTTTTGTATTCCTTTATATTTATGAATTACCTTTTATGAATATAGAGCAATTGCACTAGGATTTCTTATTTACACGCCTGTTTTTAACGGTAATCTTAAAAATTGGACAGTATTATCCATATCTATATAATTCACACACATTCGTACAGTTCATTACAATCATCACGTAATTTAAACACCAGGAGATCGACGTAAAATCGCCCAACACAATTATTGTTCTTTCGTTATTTTACTTAATTTTCTTTTCTCTAAGTTTGTTGAAAATTGAGCAACATTGCTCTCTAAATCAGTGGATAGTCACTAATTATTCAGTGATATACTTGGCACTGGATATTCAGTGAAGTTCAACTAAAAAAGGAAAAATGTTTGAGCATTATATAACTAAAATATTGATATTTGCACGTTAATTTCAATCTTCCAATTTATTCCAACGTATTACTCCACCGTATTTATTGAATTTATGCTGAAACAAGGTTAGTTAGATTACATAATAAAGATTAGGTAAGTTAGAGGTTTCACATTTTATTCACTGATTACCAGTGGCATACCTATCCACTTACTCAGATTTAGAGAGAAAGATAGATTGAAGAAAAAGATAGAAGATTTAAATATATGCGCATTCCTTATCTTATGACGGTGTAATATTTAATGTTGACATCTGTATAATTCCCTGAGTCTTTCGTAAAAAAGCGAATTTTACAACTCACTCTTCCAAGATTCCTTTATCATATCCGCGGCTTTTTCGCCGATCATATATATTCCCGCGTTCACGTGGCCCCTGGGCATCGTAGGCATGATTGAAGCGTCCACTACTCTGAGTGCCTTGACTCCATACACTCTTAGCTGCGGATCAACGACAGCGTAAGTGTCCGTTTGAGGTCCCATTTTGGCGGTCCCTATTTCATGATTCATCATGGACGGCAGATGCTTGATGGCACAACGCCAATAATCATCGGAAGCAAATTCAAACTGTTTACAGCCTGGTATTTTTAAATTATGCAACCGACTGCCGTAAGCCTGAAAGGCTTTGGTTTTGGATATGTTGATGGCGTGCTTTATTCCTTCCAGAATAATCTCTATATCGGCCGGATGGCTGAAAAAGTTTGGATTCAGTTTGGGTAGTTCGAATGGGTCCTTCGATTGCAACGTGAGACGGCCGACGCTTCTAGGATATTGAACGATTGGCCAGATGGACCAGGCGTCCTGCTCTTCGATCGGTTTATAGACAGTGTTATATAGATCCTCTGAAAGTCTTAGAACTTTTTTCAAAACCAGACCGTTGTCCGAATGTAAAGAACCAGACACAAAGAGAAGTTCAATATCCGGTCTCTCGTCAGGAGCGTATTTAGTACTGAGGAATGCTAGTGCCTCTGCACCTCCTGGAATCGTTACCGGGCCACGTTTGTATAGAAGGTATTCCAGGAACACATTTGGATTAAGTAGCCTGCTTTGTAGCAGCGACTCGCTCTGATTTATCATGAAAGTCAATCCTAGGAATCCGACGTGTTCGTACATACTGTAACCGACCTTGGAATCTTGAATCACTGGGATATTCAGTTCTTCAAGATGCTCTTTTGGTCCAATTCCCGACAGCATTAACAATTTCGCCGAGTCAATTGTACCGGCTGATAATAAAACTTCCTTTGAGCAGGTCACTTTCTTCCATTCGGTGTTCTTGATGTATTCAACGCCGTAAGCTCGCTTATCCGCATCGATTAGTATTTTGGTCACTCTAGCACCGGTGATAATCTCCAAGTTCGGTCGATTGATCTGCTCGAGATAGGCCGTGGCGCCAGTGCAACGCTTTCCATGACCCATATTCACCTGGATGTACGAGAAACCTTTCTGATCTTGGCCATTGTAATCCACGATTTTATATCCCAACTCTTGTCCAGCATTTAGAAACGTAGTCGCCAGCTTTGTATGATATGGAACATGTTCCACGCACAAATAACCGTTTGCATTGTGATACGAGGAGTTCTTGGTATCTAAGTACAGGAATAATAGATTTCGTCAATAGTATGGCAAGTCGCGACTTGATATGATATTTGAATAATTAATTTCCATTCCTAAGGTAGACAATTCCTGGAAATATCTTAAGTTTGACCATATGCGATTGACCACAGCTACTCACAAATAGACTGATTAGAGTTTTTTTACAGGACGAGTGTTGTGAGTGGCTTGTGATCAATCATAATGTGATCAAATGTCTTCCAACAATCCCTTGTCATTTTCTTGTTACGTAGAATCTATCAATTTAGAAAATATTCTGCGCTTTCTTTTAATTTTAAGATTGTTTGCATAAATTAATCTGAAATTCTCAAGTTTGAAAAGTTTGAAGAAAACAAAGGGTAAATATATTATATAAAAGGGAAAGTTGTTTGCGAAACAATGCAAAACAAAAAATATATTTTTTACGATTCTCTGGAAAAAAAAAATACAATTTTATTGTTCTAAACTAGCAGTAGAATTTAATAGTTAGAATCAAAATATTATCTTGAATTGAAATTTTGTTATAAAAATGAATGCCTTAGTTTTTACCAATTAAAAAATATAAATTTAATAAAATTCATGTAAGGGCTAAATGAGTCAAGCATGTTGTCTGTGCAAAAAATATATTGTTACAATTATAAAAATCTGAAACATTTCGGTTCTCGAAATGGAACCATTTTTCAGTAGAGGTACATAATAATATACATTACATGTGCTCTTATATATTCTTTCGTCTGTTACCGAAACGTTTGAAACATTTTTATAATTGTAACAATATATATTTTTTGCACAGACAACGTGCTTGGCTCATTTAGCCTTTATACGAATTTTATTAAATTTAATAGTTCGCTGAGCCATTAAAGTTTTTTAATTTTAATTTAAAAATATAAAGTTTTCGATCATTTATATAGACGATATAAGCGTCCATATGTGGCAAAGAGCCTAATAAAAATCTAAATTATGTCAGAAAGAAGATGTAGGATTTACGTGTTTATACATAGATCGTCTGAAAAATTTCGAGCGTCAACATGAAGATGGCATTACTTGTCAAAACCATTTTGATATTACAATCGTACATGCTTTGAAAGATAACTGTGAAAATTGTAACTATTTTGGACACTCAGTTGTTGTTTGATAGTCATTCGTGCCAGTGTTTTCGCAAAAAAATCAAATATCAGCGGTCGTGACAAAAATTTACGTATTATGGTTCGAATTGATTGAAGATCCACCGTATTCATCAGATTTGGTGGCTCCCAATGACTTTTTCCTTGTTTCCTAGACTCAAAGTTTGGCTTAGAGGACAGAGATTTTCATCAAAAACAGTGACACAAATCGAACAACTGAGCGTCCAAAATGGCTACAATTCTTCACAGATGTCTTCCAAAATATGTACGATTGTAATATCAGAATGGGTTTCGATGAGTAATGCCATTTTGATGTTGAGGCTCAAAACTTTTCAGACGACCCTCGTAGAGTTTATCACGTATACATATGTAAGAAATTTTGATAATCCATTGAATATAATCTGGAAAAATTAAGTTGTAAGTTGAAAGAGAAAAGAGAGAGAAGTGTCGTACAAGTACCTGGTACATTAAATCTTTCACTTTTTTTAAAATACGGCAGAACGTCCGCGTAAGACCAGCCCACGTTACCCAAACTAGCCCATTTGTCGTAGTCAAATTTGTGCCCACGTGTATGGATCATATAGTTCAAGATACTCGTGCCGCCCAATCCTTTACCTCGCGGCCAAGCGCACTGACGATTCACCATCCCTAGACAGGCATTCTCTTGTGGTTCTACGTTGTAACCCCAATTGTAACCAGTTAATTGAAAATAGCCGACAAATATTGGAATCCGATTCAAGAAGTTTGGCATATAGCCCGCTTCCAGTAACAGAATTCTCCATTTCTTATTCTCTGATAGACGATTGGCTAACACAGAACCTGATGATCCGGCTCCTACAATGATAAAGTCATATCTGCTGTTGCTTGGAAATTTTTCCTCCTTTCCGGCTGAATCGATATAATTCTTAACAATGTTTAGGAAATGAGCACTGCTTGTCGCCACGATTATGATGAATAGCCACAGTATCCTCATGCTGTACAAAGTCTGTAAATTTACATTACACATACACATACACATCGTACGCGCACACGTATGTACAAGATTTATAGCCGACAATAAAAAATATTATGTAAATTTGATGTTCGTAAATAAATACTTCTTTTAATATGTATAGACCTCATTCAATTTTTTTTCTTTTTACACGTGCCATTTTTTTTTGCTATTTAATAATGAATTTTAATAATTTTAAAACTTCCTGACGTTAAAAATTGTAATTTAACACTAGGATAATATTGAATATATTTTGAAGTAACCATCAATATTGTATGCGTGTGATTATTTTTTAACTTACTTAGTTTTTTAATAATTTCTTAGTAGTTTGATAATACATACCGTTTATGTGAGTCGCTATAGAGCGATTGTTTTTCGCGTGTTAAGCTGTGTCCTCCTTCTTGTGCACTGTGCCAATCGTTGGGACATGAGGATATTAATTCCTACAGACCACAATTTCTCTGCCACTTTGGAACAGCCCACAACCGACAACTCTCCCTTTCGAGATCCACCAGAGAAATGTACTTTCTCGTTTGGTTCACGTAATACTTATCATGTAATATATTTGGACTAAGAACCCCTTCTTGAATTATTAATGAATTGTTGATTTAAGCTTTATTTATTATTATCTTAAGCATTATTTTACATGCTTTTACATGCTTTAATAAAATGTAATTTATCAATCTTCAAAATTGTATAACGATTGCATTGCCGATTGAGCAATAAATTACAGATGTTTATTAAACAAATGTTATTAAACAATCTGTAATTTATTGTTCAATCGGCAAGGCAATCGTTATACAATTTTGAAGATTGATAAATTACATTTGTTATTAAAAGCATGTAAAATAATGCTTACAATAATAAAGAAGCAAATCAGGAACTTATAAATAAATAAATTGAAGGAGAAAACATTAATATATACAAGTCAAGTCAATTTGTAGCTGATTAGGCTATAAAAATTCTATTTTTTATTCCTTCATTAGACTACACTAGTGAACTTTCTTTTTTGCTTTCGTCAAATATCAAACATATATGTCTATTTTACTTCAAATTCCAAAAGTGTACATTAGTTTAGCTACAGAAAACAGATCTATAATGTGTCACGATTCTATTTTGCTGCGTGAATTTTCTATGTCTGTTTTAATAACTATCTAAGTATTATTTTATATTTTATGTTGTATTAATATTTTATGATTATTAAATTTATATATATATATATAATATATAAATATCATATATAAATGTGGTAAACATACGAGAGTAGAAAGCGATTATTTCACTTTCTCTAGTTTTTCTAGCTCATTTAAATTATAATTTCATTATGCAATAAATTTGATTATATGTATCTATATATACAGGGGTCCTAAAATAATCGCCAATATTTATGGGTAATAATATTTCATGGGCAGGTAGAGCGGACTAAACTGAGCCAAAAAGTTCTCTACCATTTTACAATTTTCGCAATAGTTAACACGATAAGACAAAAATTGTTTATTTTCTTCTTGTAGAGCTCTAAGAATTTTTTCAGAATTTTTTATCAACTTTTTAGTACTGCATTTTCTTATTTTTAACATGAGAAAATACGGTATTAAAACATTCTGTAAAAATTCTTAGAATTCTATGAGAAGAAAATAAACAATTTTTGTTTTTAGTAGTTTTTCTGTAAAGTTGATAATATTTGAGTAAAAAATTATTGAAGATCAATTTTCAGCAATTTTTAGTAACTAATATCTGAGAAATTGGGCAGATGAGAGTATAACGCAGATGTTGGAGCGTGATTAGAAAATAATGTTAATCAATGCAGATCTTGATAGCGTGTATTTCCATAAAGACGAACGTTTCGACCTTTTTTAGAGTCATCATCAGAGTTAATACAGATTTTAGAGGATATGAAATCACTATAAAATAGCAGCCACTATAGAATTGAAAGATCCAAAGTGAGATCTTAACTCTGCTATGCCTTGATTAATTGATATTTTTACCTGTAATCACATCTCTCAGTATCAAATGAAATGAATTGTGCAAAATTGCAACGAAATTCATGCACCTCACTTTGAATCTTTCAATTCTATAGTAGCTCTGCATTGATTAACATTATTTTTTGATCACACTCCAACATCTGCGTTATGCTTTTATCTGCCCGATTTCTCTTTTATTATTTGGAGAGTTATAGGGAAATTGTAAGATTTCCGTAATTCTTTTTTAACTAATATCTTGTTAACTATTGCGAAAATTGCAAAATGGTAGAGGACTTTTCGATTCAGTTTAGTCCACTTTATCTGCCTATAAAATATTTTTGACGATTATTTTGAGACACCCCGTGCGTGCGTGCGTGGGTGTGAGTGTAATGCCAGATTCTAGTAACATGTGTCAAGAGCTTTTCAAAACACTATAATAAAGTTATTTTTCATTAAGTGTTTTTCGAGTTATAAGGCTTGAAAGTTACAGTATCGTCGGCATTAGTGGCATGCAAGATGTCCGATGGCTAAAATCTTTTGAATGTTGTTCAGGATCATGTCTTGGATAACATTTGTTAATATTGTTAATATTGTATCAGTTATTTTCATTTTCATTTTTGCAGTAATTGTAAGAATTCAGCTTCACGTAAAAATGAAAATAAGAGGTACAACCTCCAATGACTTTGATCTTGACATTTAGTTATCTAGGACATGATCTTGATCAATATTTAAGAAGTTTTAACCGTCGATCGGACATCTTGCATAATACCAATGATACTATAACTTTTAACCTTGTGTTGACAAAAGCTGTTGACACCTGCTATTAGATTCTGGCATCAAAGATGTCCCATTAAAAAAAATCAATTTGATCTTGACTTGATCTCGGCGACGTCATCCAAGGTTAAACGAATGTGATCAGTGAATAGATTTTTTTAAACTCTACAACTTTTGTCTGAAACATTTTTCTCAAAAATGCTTTGCTTTCGAGATATTCGACCGTTTCCAGATTTTTTTATACACTCACTCTCTCTCTCTCTCTCTGTCTGCGTGTGTGTGTGTGTGTGTAGAGATATATATAATTTTGAAAAATTTGTCTATGAATGGAATAAATAACAGAAAATAAATATAACAGAAAATAGATAAATCAAATGCTAGGGAT